GTCTTCAGAAGAAGGGTAATATCAGAAAGGGGGAAATGTAAATCTTATTAAAAGGATAAAAGTAAAAAACGTTAAGAATCCAAGTCAGGACACAGGGATGAACAAGTCAAGGTACAAAGTTGGTTTCCCCATTGAATCCTATTATGGACAATCTGAAGCATTAAACAGAAGGAAGCGAAAAGGAAAGAACGAACACATCTGATATAATTGGTATACATATTTGAGTAAGAATGAGACTCTTCCACTGATCTTGTTGTTTTAAGTGGTAAAGATCTCCTCTCTCAAAGAATAGAAATACTGAACAGGCACCTAGCACACACTACAAGACAGTTATTGAATTAAAATGCAAAAGCCATCACACGTGGAGTTTGTGTTTTCTACACAATTGTGTATTTTACACACATTCCTGTCATGCTGAATGTTTGTCAATAGTTCTTATAATGACAATGTTTTTAGCCTCAGGGGATTCAAAGGAAAGTATCTTCCTTGAGACAAAACAAAAATATATCTTCTCTTTCCTTCATCAAGGCTCTGGCTCTTGACCTGTTAAGAAGCATGAACTGTGTGGGTGAAGGGGAGAAGAAAAGCAAAGCACACTGCCATGTGTGTACCTACGCAACTGTCTTGCATGCTCTGCTCATGTACCCCAAAACCTATAATCCAATAAAAAATTAAAAAAAAAAAAAAAGAAGAAGCATGAACTGAACTTGCACCTTCAGAATGCAGGTTCTCGAACACATATTCCCAGCTGAGCCAGGGAGGTTTGTCCAAGGATGCAAGATAGCCTGCAAAAGACTGGAGAAGCAACTTTCTCTTCTTGTCTCAACTTCCTTTACTGCAGCCAATGCCACACTTCACACCTGAGCTTAAAGGTTGAAAGAAGAGAGTAGAGGGGGAGAAATATAAGCAAATTGCCTTCACTTGCCTTCATAAATCTGCAGGGTGGAGCTAGCTTCTCTCTGTGGGCTGATAGCAGCTCATTTTCCCTCTGTGATGGGGGAGATATTGGCTAAACATCCTGAAACTAGCTTTGAATTGAATTAATAGTTGAAAGCAAAATTGTGTCTGGGACTGGTGGTCACTGGGAGACTATTTTAAACTCCTCTAGTTCATGCCGTCTCTATGGCACTTACCATTTTCTACCATGTACAGTCTTAATCTCCCTGTTAAATACAGGGACCATCATAGATACCTTTATTCCCTACAGCATCTGAAACAAAGCTTTGCACATAATAAATGCTTAACTCCCTCATTTATTAAAGGAGCACCTAGATGAGAAATAAAGGCTTATTACACCCTGGAGTTTTCCTTGATCGTCACCTTTTCAAGCAGATTATCATAAAAGTGTTGTTTTAATGTCTTTGTTAGCTTCCGTGATTTCCCTGACGTTCCATATCATAAATACAATGACAAAGATGTAATTTTACCTCACAGTGCCAATATGTAGGTTATTTCTTTAAATTTTAAAGGGGATACTACAATTCTTTCTCAAATACTCCTAATTCTGGAAGAAAAATGAGCCAAGTGCAGTTATACATGCCTGTAGTCCCAGCTACTTGGGAGGCTGAGGACAGAGGATTGTTTGAGCCCAGGAGTTTGAGGCCAGCCTAGGCCACATAGTAAGGCCCATCTCTAAAAAAGAAAGAGAAAAAGAAAGGAAAAGAAAAAAGAAAAAGAAAAACAGTTTTCTACAAGGTGATTGTAGTCTTATATTCTTCCATGCTATTTGGTTAACTATACAACACATTTTATTTTCTCCTAAGAGGTTAATCAAACATATTCACCTTTCCTTCTGCATTTAAAAGCTAGGGGTCAGGAATTTCAAAGGAAACACTTTGCTACAATTCCGGAATAGTGAGGAAACACAGTGGCAGAGACTAAAATCTACCATGGTATTTGGCTTCCTGCCTTCCTTTGATTTTACAATGAGGGGAAAATCCAGGTGAGCTGTGACTCCCTTTAGGAGTTCCATTCCTGTGTGCTCTGTCTCCAGCCAGGAGAGAGACCGACAGAACGGTAACACTCGATGCCAGGCTCCCTTGCCCACTCAAAGACCCTCCCTCAGGTATCAGTTGCTTGGCTGAGCTTTGAGGTCAACTAGACACCTCCCTTGAGACTTACCTGGCCTGAGGGATAGAACGACCAGAAAATCCTCTCAGGGATAGCAGCTGTTAGCTGAGCTAGGATCAAAGTCCCCCTCTGTACTGCAGAAAAACATCTTCTAAACTGGGTCTCTTTCTCCATGATTCGAATGAATGTTGAATGAGTCCCCAGGGACGCCAGTTGCTTTGCTTAGGAGCAAGCTGTCAGAAATACCGTGCAATGAAAGTTCACCTCCTGTTAAGGTCCTTTTTGGTTGAGCGTTTTTATTCGTTGTCTCAGAGGGCCATCAGAAGTTAATCAAGAAATTAGGCAACAGAAAAATGTGACGATTTGTTTTGTTTTGACAGTTTTCATTTGTGTATTGTCTTTTCTTTCCCCTGAAATGTGACAATCGCTTCACCCCGGTAATAGTCACAGTATCCATGAAGGGCACAGTGAGTATAAAAAGCTATTGTTCAAGCCTTCAGTTTTGTATATGAAAACATGAAAAATAAAAAGGAACTTTCCTACCGATCAGATTTGGATTACAAAGTGATAAAGTTTCTCTTGGCTTATACCAGATCTTTTAGACCAGTCCGTAACAGCAACCTCCAACTAGGCACCTGGCGTTCATGTTCTTAACGTAAATAGGGTAGGCCAGAACATTTGCCAGTTTTCCATCGAGGAGATCAGTGTGAACCATTCATCTAGGGATTCCAGATTTGCAGAGACTCAGATAGGTTCAGATGATGCTTGGTTCACTCCTCAGCAGATACGGCGCTGCCGTGTAACCTCTTCCGGACCTCGAACGTGTCTCATTGGTTTCAGTATCTTCAGCGACTACCCCTGGGTGTGGGATACAGGGGAAGGAACAAATATCTTGTGAGGTGAACTAGATTGAGCACAGCTTCTTTTAGCTTGTTAAAATTACAGAACCAGTTAAGTGAACTAGAGGTAAAAACGTCAGAAGGACAGAGTGTTTACTTGGCCCGGGAGAGAGCGATGGCGTTGGAAGCACCCTTTGTAGAGGGCGCCGTTTGAAGACTTTCGTTCTTTTCAGCGGGAACGGATTTTGCTCACATGGTAGTTGTAGCCAGTTTTATTCTGCACATTTCAGGTTGCCCAGTCTAAATAGATGTGTTTGGTAGCAGTGCCAGTGGGTAGGTGGGTGGCTCAGATATTTTAGTCATGGCACACACTATTGTACAGACATCTGTTATATTGAATGGATTATTTTGTTTATCAAGTTTATTTGGATAGCAATTTGAGTTTTGTATCTTAGTTCCTTCTTGGGCGGGGGTGTTGCCAGCAGGTGCAAGCTACACATTGGCTGGAGTTGCTTGAGTTTCTTGCAGTTCCCTGGATAGCTTTTTTTTTTATTTCTTTTTTTTCTCTTTAGCATTTTTCTTTTCAATAACTGTATCATTCTAAAGAAATTCAGCGTTTTGAACACAATATTCTAAAATTAATGGCCACGTGAATTTTCCTTTTAAGAAACATTTATTATCTTTCCAAGGTCCTTACCAATAATAACACAAGTTTCTCTTTTTCCCGTCTTTTAAAAAAATCTTCTATTCTGGTGGTTCCCCCCGCGTATAAATAGCTAGTTATTCTTTAATAAAAACGCTATTTGAGAGAAGAGTTTGCGGTTTTGCCTGAGGTACTGTTCAGCATTGTTCTACTTATTTAAATCAGCAGAAAGCTCTCTGGAACAGAGCTTGTGTCTGCAGCTCTGAACATGAAGGGTCAGTATTAGCCATTTATTCTGAATAATCTGGAAGTCAGATAAATCTAGGCAGGTATTTTGGAAATCTCCAGAAAGGCATTGTGAGGAACCAAGAGCTCTATTTCCTGCTGTGCTGCGCTCTGTCGTCAGGACTGCAAATCTGATGATGATGATGATGATGACAATGACGGTAGGTGATGTTTATCCAGCTCTGAATATGTGACAGGTAGCATTCAAAACCTATCTGTTTCACATCTGAGGACACTGAGGAGGAATGACATTAGGTGCAGCCCCCAAATCCAGAGTAAATGGCTAGTAAATGGCTGAATCAGGACTCACACCTAGGTGGGATAGCTCAGAAATGTGCACTTTTCACCATATGACACATTACATGTATTTACACATTAGGAAAGAGACAGCAGTACAAATATATAGTTGTCTACGCAATTCCAGGTGCTGCTAGGCATTAGGAACAGGAAGACAAAATTCTCCTGACTTGAAATTGCCCACAGTCTAGCAAAGGCTCAGAACTGAAAACAGATCAATTCACTACAAAGAGATTATAGAGGAAGGATGCCTGGGAATGAAGATGGTTGAGGAAAGATCCCAGGAGATCTAAATCGGGCCAGATGAATAGCGAGTAGAGGTTAAGGTGGGTAAAGAAGAAGGTTTGGAGCTCCCAGGAGGGAAGGAAAAGCTCGAGTTGAGGCAGAAAGCCAGGAATCCAGTGTGGTTGTGAGGAGCAGCTCCTCCCTTGATATAACCAAAATGCAAAATAGGGATCTGGTCAGCAGCAGGAAAGGAATGCAGAGAAGTAGGGAGAGGTTTTGTGCGAGGCGTTTGGTGGTAAGTTGTGCTAAGACAAGAGAGCGTGATGCGACCTGCCTGTGAGAAGCAGGAAGCAGTCGCACCTGACTCCTCGTCCTGTCCACCAGTAGAGAAAAGCCCCGACACGTGGGGCTTGTGACTGGCTGCTCACTGCTCTTCATCCTCCCTGTGCCACCTTGGATCTTGGCCCTGACACAGGGGTTGGCAGTGGGAAGGAGCTGGCTGGCTCCTTAGCACCATTTTCGCTTCTGGACGCATCACCCTCCTTGTGGGTTATGGCCTGGAGGTTGCACGTTGGTAGTCCCCCTGCTTAACGACAGTGTGCCTTGGGTACCGCTCATTTCCTCCTTTCCTGCAGGTCAAAGAACCACAGTAATTATGTCGGATGAGTGTGCGTAAAGTGGCCTAGCAGCTTGACTAACCTGGAAAATCAGCAAGAGTTAGCCATCTTGAGGAAGACACAAAAGGCTGAAGAATGTGAGTAGGGGGGAGAGGTTTAAAAGGAATTTTAAATGTGAGGCTCTGGCAAATAGGAAGATAGAGAAGTACTAAAGAACGTAGACCCTGTGGGCTTCAATGGGGTTCCGTAATATCCAGTACAGGTCAAAGTACTGGGCCGTTGTGGTTCCTTTATTTACGGCACTTAATAGCTTGTCCCACTCACTGTGATTAACATGTCTCACTTTATGTCCAGACTGTGAGATCCTTGAGTCTAATCGGGTTCCTCTTCCACTGTCTCCAACACTTAACAGGCCTTGGCACAAGGTTACTGCTTCATAAAGAGAGTGTTAAATGTTAAAACTGTGTAGTGGAGAGGCACAGAAAGGGGTGAGCCTCTTGCGTTGGCTGGAGGAGGAACATAGAGGGCTCCACATAGAGCCCCGAAGAGGAAAGCTGTTGAGAGAGACAGTGGGGTGAGGCAGAAAGTGCAAGGGCTTCGGGCTCAGAGAAACTCAGATTTCAATCTTTGCCTTATTGGCCCTTTGCTCTATCCCCAACTCTGGACAGGCCCAGCCCTCCATGAGGATGACGAGGACTGGAAGATGTGTTTCAGCAGCAACCTGCCGGGCCATCCTGTAAATCCTTGTGTGCAGGACACTGTACTTATGGATGCCAGGAGAGCCAGCCCTGCCCATCTCAGGCCAAGGTTTCCACTGTGCAGGTATGCCTAGCAGTGACCTCAGCAAAATCTTGAGTTCCAGAAAGTTGTACACACAGTCCAGCTCCTGCTCTCCTTGCCTCCTCTTCCTATACCACTTCTAGATAGTCCTGTAGGAATGTCTGCTTCCGGGTTTGTACTATGCGTCTGCATATACATCTTGTGTTGTCATGTTATTCTTTTTTTTTTTTGAGATGAAGTCTTGCTCTGTCACCTGGGCTTCAGTGAAGTGGCTCAAGCTCAGCTCACTGCAACCTTTGCCTCCCAGGTTCAAGTGATTCTCCTGCCTCGGCCTCTGGAGTAGCTGGGATTACAGACATCTGCCACCACAGGCAGGTAAATTTTATATTTTTAGACAAGGTTTTGCCATGTTGGCCAGGCTGGTCTCAAAGTCCTGACCTCAGGTGATCAGGCTGCCCCAGCCTCCCAAAGTGCTGGGATTACAGGTGTGAGCCGCCGTGCCTGGCCCACCATGTTATTCTAATAGAACATGGGGAGAGATCTGGCAGCCTGGATATCTTTTTGGTAACTTACTGAATAACAATCTTGTATTAGCTGTTATTCCATTCAAGTGTTGCAAACCATATTATGTGTCTAGAACTGAAATTAAGCAAAAGAAATTAGACTTTAACTCCAACTGGTTTCTCTCTCTCTCTTTGAAATCAATAGGTATTATTTTTAGGGCAGTTTTACACTAACACAAAAATTGAGTAAAGAGTACAGATAGTTCTCATGTTCTCCCTCTTCTCTCTCACCCGTTTTCCCTATTATTAATGTCTTACATTGGTATGCCACATTTGTTACAAGTGATGAACCAGTATTGATGCATTACCATTACCATTACCATTACCAAAGTCTACAGTTTATATTGGGGTTCATTTGTGTTGTTCTATGGGCTTTGCTGAAAGCATAATGTCATGTCTATAATTAGAGTATTAAACAGAAGGAATCATTGCCCTAAAAATCCCCCTGTGATCCGCCTATTTATCCCTTCCCTCTCCTCCAGCCCCGGGCAACCATTGGTCTTTTCACTGGCTTTTTCCACCCAGCAATGTGTATGTAAAGTTCCTCCAGGTCTTTTCATTGCTTGACAGCTCACTCATCTCTGTTCCTGAATACCATTCTAACATGCGGACATTTCACAGCTTGTTGGTTATTCACTGTGAAAGCTTACCTATGTTTCTTCCCGTTTTTTGGCAATTATGAGTGAAGTTGCAATAAAATGTGCAGGTAGGTTTTGTGTGGACATAGGCTTTCTATTCATTCGGGCAAATGCCTAGAAGTGTGATTGCCGAATCATATGGTAAGACGATGTTTAGCTTTGTAAGAAACTGCCAAACTGTCTTCCAAGGTGGTTGTGCCATTTTGATTTCCCACCAGTAATGAGCAAGAGTTCCTGTCCCTCCACATCCTCACCGGCACTGGGGTTGCCAGCGTTCTGTTTTGACCATTCTAATAGGTATATGGTGATAGCTCGTTGTTGTTTTAACTGTATTCCCCTAGTAACATACGTTGTTGAATATCTTTTCCTACACTCATTTGCTGTCTATCTTCTTTGTGTTTGTTCAATCTTTCACCCACTTTTTATGGGGCTATTTTCTTATTGCTGAGTTTTGGCAGTTCATTGTATATTTTGGATACATGTCCCTTATCATATATCTGTTTTGGAAATATTTCCTACCAGTCTGTGGCTTGTCTTTTCATTCACTTAACCGTGTTTTTTGAAGAGTAGAAGTTTTAATTTTTATATAGTCCAATTTTATGGTTATGCATTTTACATTTAGGTCTAAGATCCATTTTAAGTTGATTTTATGGAAGATGTAAGGTCAGTGTCTAGATTAACGTCACACTAAGCTACTAGGCTGTTCTTGTTGTTTTACTTGTTTTTCTGTCTTTGTAGTATTGATTCTGTGTTTTGCTGCAAGCCTATTTTTCCCCTGATTAAGCAGGTCTATTTCTAAAATGTGATATGATCTTTGACATGTTAACAGATTTTATTAATCTCATCATTTTACTCCCCAAAGGCTCTATCATGAAATGTGTGGATTTGAACAATTTATTTTATTTCCTTTTTCTTGCATATTCCAATATATAAAAATGGGGAAATCTAGCAACATTGGGAGATGATGAGAGAATTTAATATTAGAACATGTGAAGAGGTGGGACGCTGTATTAGTGAGTGCTTCAAAGCTTTCTGCTCATCCATCGACCACACCACTTTCCCCACAGGGACTCAGCGGCAGAGCCTGGAAAGACAGCTTACCTTTCCTTAAGCCAACGCTTAGATGGTTTTGGAGATTGCATTAGATTTTTATCAAAAAAAGAGGAATAGAACAGAGAAGGGAAATGTGTGAAGGACTTCATGGATGTCTATTTATTCACTCATTCAAACACTGTTTCTGACCACCCATTATGAGTCAGGTATTAGCAGACATTGCAAATATTTAACAAGGAAAGTAGTTATGGTAAAGGCCCCACAGGATAGGGAGTGCAGAGGAGGTAGAGGGACTTGGGACACTCTGCCTTCAGAGTTGAAGAATGAAAGACTGAAAAACAATCAAGCTTTTGGACAACAGAAGCAGATGTTCAATAAGCATAGACCTCTATGCCCAGGGCCCGTAGACCTCTATGCCCAGGGCCCGTAGACCTCTATGCCCAGGGCCCTAGACCTCTATGCCCGGGCCCCGTAGACCTCTATGCCCAGGGCCCGTAGACCTCTATGCCCGGGCCCCGTAGACCTCTATGCCCGGGCCCCGTAGACCTCTATGCCCGGGCCCCGTAGACCTCTATGCCCAGGGCCTGTAGACCTCTATGCCCAGGGTCTGTAGACCTCTATGCCCAGGGCCCATAGACCTCTATGCCCGGGGCCCGTAGACCTCTATGCCCGGGGCCCATAGACCTCTATGCCCGGAGCCCGTAGACCTCTATGCCCAGGGTCTGTAGACCTCTATGCCCAGGGCCTGTAGACCTCTATGCCCAGGGTCTGTAGACCTCTATGCCCGGGGCCCATAGACCTCTATGCCCAGGGCCCGTAGACCTCTATGCCCATGGTGGAGGGCCCCAAGAAGCCCTGAATTACCCTTCTCAAACGTTGTATTCAGAGCATATCTATTTTGGCACAACTGTTTTTATTGCTTTTATTTTTTATTATACTTTAAGTTCTGGGGTACATGTGCAGAACATGCAGGTTCGTCACACAGCTATACAAGTGCTATGGTGGTTTGCTGCATCCATCAACTCGCCATTTCTCCTAATGCTGTCCCTCCCCTAGCCCCTCACCCCCGACAGTCTCCAGTGCATAATGCTCCCCTTCCTGTGTCCATGTGTTCTCGTTGTTCAACTCCCACTTGTGAGTGAGAACATGCGGTGTTTGGTTTTCTGTTCCTGTGTTAGTTTGCTAAGGATGATGGTTTCCATCATCAGCCATGTCCCTGCAAAGGACATGAACTCATCCATTTTTATGGCTGCCTAGTATTCCACGGTGTATATATGCCACATTTTCTTTATCCAGTCTATCATTAATGGGCATATAGGTTGCTTGGTGAAAGTGTAACTTAGTTCAACCATTGTGAAGGACAGGTGGCCATTCCCCAAGGATCTAGAACTAGAAATACCATTTAACCCACCAATCCCATTACTGGGTATATACACAAAGGGATTATAAATCATTCTGCTATAAAGATCCATGCACACATATGTTTATCATGGCACTGTTCACGATAGCAAAGACTTGGAACTCATGTTTTTAAAAGATGCTTCAGGCTTTACCTCAAAACTTAGTCTTGTTGCTCCTACCTCTGCCTCCTCTGTCTCCCATGAATGACGACGTCCCAGCTCATCAGACCCTTTGCGGTCTCTTTCTGACCAGCATCTCCCGATGTCGGCTCCTCACTTCCTCACCTGCTGCTGTTCACTGTGCCTGCTTCTGGCTGGTTTTGCCTTATGCCTTCATAGCTGAACTTAGGAATTCCCCCCTTCTGCCTGCCTGCGTTTTTGCTTGGTCTCTTCTTCTTCCCCATGCCCTCCGAGTCCACATCTCAGGCCAACATCACAAAACCTGGATCTGAAGAAACAAACTCAAGCATTGGAGACGTTAGAGAAAGCACAACTCGAAACAATAATGATAATTCTTGAGAGCTTTCTACTGTGGAAGCTTTACACGGCACACTTTATCCCTTACTTAATCCTCACAACAAACTTGTGCCATGGTGTTCTGGACACTGAAACCCTCAGCCACAAAACTAGAGATTGAGTAGAAGGTCCTTTATGATGTTGGCTACATGGATAAGTTTAAAATCAGAAAGTGAATTGAGGGGACAAATGAAGGAGAGAGTGTGAGAGAGAGAGGAAGGAACAGAGAGAGTGACTGACAGGTGGAGAGAGGGAATAAGGTCAGAGAACTTGTTCCAGCCGAATGTAATCTAGATCTTGTTCCACAATAAGCCATAAAGAGCAACAAAACCAAATTGATTATGAAAGGCAGAGTCTCCAGGTGTTCGGGTCATTTGTTTGTTAGTTATTTAATGTAATTTCTGAAAAAGGGAAAAAGATTTCTATTTGAATGGTTAGGATTAATTCTGTAGTAGGAAGGTGTTAAGTAAATTCTTTTTTATTTCTTTGCAGTTCAGTAGTGGACATAAAAACTAAATACCACGGTTTACCATTTTCTTGCTGGAATGGACTCCATGCCACATGAAAAGGTGATAGTGTAAATGTATTGAGCATTGATGCTAACTTGCTTCTCTGAGCCCCAAACACCAGAGTTACATCTGGGGGTATAATAAAAAGCCTGCGAACTGTTCTAAGCTTGTGAAACAGGACAAATGTTTTAGTGTATTTCTCACTCCTCATCACTTTCTTCTTTTTATGAGACTTAAATTCTCTTTTTCTTCCAAGCTTGACCTCTTTTTACTACTCTATTGAATATATAATTGGTCCTCTATTCCATTCAACTCCTCGATTTATAATTAAAGACCACATGTGATTACATTTTAATGATCACTCTTTGCATGTTGATCTGATTGATGAGACTGTTTTCTTCTTTGTATTAGGAAATGTGAAGTCCGTTACCACAGTTCTGTCGCCTTGTTCTGTCACAGTAACCGATTCTCCCTCCAGTTTTTCACATTGATCACTTCACTGGTGAAATGTGTGATGGCATATCTCACACCCTCTTTTGTTTTTGAGTCTATAGCTCAATCCTTTGCTTTCCTTTTTCCCCCTCCTTCCCAGTAAACTATTCCTGAAATCCTTCTGTCTGAAGGTTTATGCAGACGGATCACAGTCTGAGTTTGGTGGTTGGGATTACATCAGCTCTTGGCCAAGTAAGCCAAGTATTGTGCCACGACAGACATATCTGGGATGGGAGCAGAAGCGGTGGTGAGACAACATGAAA